GTAAAGGAATACTTTAGAAGGACTTAGATGGGGTAAACGACGAAAAAATGGTGGGGGCAGGCCACCCTGGCGCACTGTTGGCGCGGGGCGCCTGCCCCTAAACTTCAGAGACCCACCTATTTCTAGCGCACTGCTGGCGTATCTGTGGAGCGTCGCGCCACCATTCCCCTAGACAATTCTGACAAATTTTCTACTCGTTTTCTGACCTTAATTCGACTAAAATCCAATGGGTTCTTCCCCAATCACTTAGCATCGAATACTCAACGTATGTACACGATAATCTACTCGAAACAACCCTCAAAACACTAACACTTATCCCAAGAACTCATCGAAATCCCAACAATCAAGATTATGAAAGGTATTCCAAGAAAACTCAACAAGAACTCAAATCCTTCAACATTAAGAATGAATTTGCGCTGAAAATAACATGATTGACATATGGGTGAACGAACCCAACACTATGAGAACTCACACACCTCTTAGGGATCAAACTATCGCAAAAATCCGCAAGAAAACCTCAAGAACTCGACAAATGCTTGAATCTTCTCCTCTTTGCTTCTCTTTTCTTTTCTTGAACTCTTTTCTAAAACCCTAAGCATATTTTGATTTGGGAAAACTGAACCAAATCAATTTAGACCCCTAATTATTTACGAAAAATGCTTAAATTTGAAAGGGTAAGGAATAGACCAAAATACTCCTCATATTTTCGGGTAACTTTCCTTAATTGAACAGTCTGACTTAAAATAGCCATATATCCCTCATACGAGCTCGAAAATTAGCAAACTCGATGGCGTTGGAAAGAGGACTCCAAGACCTTTCATTTGATATCTTATTGGACACCTAACTCATCATGTACTGAATGTTATGGTCGTTTGAGGTTGACCCAAACTCATAACTTGAAAATTTTCAGATTTAGCTTATTTCCAATTTAGTTCTTTCTATTTTTAACTCTTTCAAATACCGAGGTGTTACAGTTTTACATTGGTTTAGATTTTTAAAATATATAACCTAATTTTAATTTTTCTTTAATGTTTAATCATGGAACTAATACTTATTAGACTTATTTTCGCATGATTTAGTACTTTTAAATTATGATCATTTTCATTATGACTTGTCAAATTGCAATATTTATTTTATACGATTTCATTATTATTTTTTATTAAATATTTTAATGTCATCACTCATCTCATTATTTTGTGTTATTTTCTTAAGAAACACATGTATGTATGAATACTTTACGGAAAAATCTGAGGTTTATTAGTTTGGTTTGATTTAAAAATTTGACACAAATGGTTTGGTTTGATATTTGAAAAATCCGAACCAATCTAAAAAAAATTGAGGTTGAAAAACCCAAAAAATCTGCGTTTTATTAGTTTGATTTGGTTTATAAATTTAAAAATTTGACACAGATGGTTTGGTTAGATATTTGGAAAAACCCAAACCAATCCGGTCATGCACACCCTAACCCTAGTCCAATAGTCATAATTCAACAATTATCAATTATCAAGTACGGCAATCAGAAGTGTCAAATAGATCAATCGTTGGTATCAAGTACATCAAAGCACAATAATCAAGCACACTGAGCACAAATTCACAGATTTATCACTCACAATATCAATTGAAACTCATGAAAACTGCCCATAGTTCATGAACTCGCTAATAATGATCTCGACATCAGTATCACTCGGCGGTAATGACCTAGGCATCAATATCACTCATTGAAAATGACCTCGACATCAATAGCACTTGTCGGAAATGACCTTAGCATCAATAACACCTGTCGAAAATGACCTCGGCATCAATAATCATTACATGTCTCATCATGGTGCTCAGAAATCAATGCAAGTAAGCAATTTTACACCATAAGGAAGAGACAATAACTAAAGCAAATCATCTACAATAAAGTTATCAAAGCATTTTATCAATCATCACATTAGGGTTCACAACAAGCCAAATTCACAAAGTATTATGATAAACATGCTGCCTTGTCATTAATCCCCTTTTTATTCATTAATATCAATCAAGTGAAATAATTGAACTCATCACCTCGTTCTCAGTACTCCCAAACACATACAAATGAAGAGAAATACACGATTCTACTAATTTTACAAGGTTTAGAAGATCACTTGCCTCAATTTCAATCAAAGATCAATCCAAGACTTGAGTCTTCCGTTTCCAAACAATGTCCAAAGTCAGACAATCTAATTCAATCAAATAATCACAATAAGATTTCGAAAATAACAACACTTACTTCAAACATTTGCAAAACGGGTCAAATCATCTCAAGAACCTAATTTCAAAAATGAGGTTTGAATCCAAAAATCTTTACTTGAAAACATTACCCAAGGCATTTGAAACTCATTGGTGAAAACCATTTCGAAAAAGGATTTAAAATTAGTCCATAATCATTATTTTACTAAATTCTTCTGTTCTTCAAGAAAGAACCCAATTAATCATTTCAAAACCTTGATTTGAACACTTAAATTGATAAAAAATAATGGGTAAATGAAGATTTAAGATTAGGGATCGTCACCCAAATATTTCTTCTCAAAAGTTCTGTTCAAATCGCCACACCAAAGCTCCCAAAACTCAAAAATGATGAAATGATGTTGAAACCCTGATTTTTGGAAGATATTTTGTCCAGGGGTCCTCCGCGAACGTGGACCCCTATCCGCAAATGCGGCCCCCAACTCATTAAAGCGCGGAGGGTTGGCTTTAGCACTACAGAACAGAAAAATCAACCAAACACAAAATCGTCGAAAGAACCATTGGGATTCGTTCTGAACGTCGTACACATAAACCATATATGTGATTTGACTATATTCGACGTTCCGGACTCAATGGAACCATCGAAATACAAATATGAGGTCTCCTTGACCCAAGTCCCGTGAAAAACCCAAGAAACTAATCATAATGCCTAAAAAGGTCAAATCAAGCTCGGGAACTCTAAAAATTCAACTAAGACCTCACCTAGGCCTAAAATCATCCCCCAAATCCAATGAAACTCTTGGAAATCCGATCCGAGCATCTAAACCCCGAATATTGACCAAAGTCAATCCAAAGGCTAAATTTTCACAAATTTCTAACTTAGGACCTCAAATCCTTAAAAAGACTCCAAATTTGAAGCTCATCGACCAATTTCCACATTTCAGGACTGATGAAATCGATAGAATTTCATTTCGATATTCGAAACTCCAAAATATACCAAAAACCACTTTTAAGCAACCTTATCAAACTCAAAACAAACAAATTTCACAAGTTTTTACTCAAATCTTGAAACCAACTTCAAAACTCAATTAGAAATGACTCGGGGTCAAAATCGGGAGGGGTAAAACACTAAATTTCTAGAAAATTTCCAAAAATGACCAACAGGGTCATTACAATCTAGATATATCTGACTTGAAATCTTACATGAAATTATTAATTAGTAAGATAATGTGAAATTATTTCAAACTAAATGATGAATTAGTAAATATGATAGGAATATTTGTGTAATTAGGTATTATTTTTCATTTTTTATCAGATTACATATCAATCTTTATTACATAGAGTTATTTGTGATTAGTTTTTCTAATATCATATCCCCTTTCGCTTCCATAAATCAAACTAAAGCCGATGGAACAAACAATTAGGGTGAAGGAGGAAAAAAACTCACACTAATATACACAAACACATATTTATATTAAAATATACACAAAAGCACATACTTATGTTATTTTCTACATTAAAGAAAGTGCTTTAATCATATATTCTCTCTTTGTTGTTTAATTCTTATGATTAACACCATGTAGAAGAATGGTCTTCTCAACTATGACCATTAATCCTTTCATCATTTGATAACTTGTTCATGGATAAAGCTGCATTAAGAAACTCATCCATTGCTTTAATAGATGACCCTTTGAAATCCTCATCATCTATAATAGCATCACTTATCATTTCTTTAACTTCACAAGTTTTCCTTCTTATTTCATTCCCTTTCTCATTTTTCCCCATAACAACCTCAATCTTTTTCAATATATCATCATGCTTGACTTGAGAATTATTCCCTCTAGCCACCTCAACACAAACACCAACATCTTGTTCCAAGAATTTTGCATTGTAAAATTGCTCTGCTGCAATAGGCCAATCTAGAAGTGGCACTCCATTTTCAAGTGATTCCAACATTGAATTCCATCCACAATGTGTCAAGAAAGCTCCAACTGATTTGTGTGCCAAGATTTCAACCTGTTGTAACCAAAAAAAATAATTATCGTAAGCTTTAAGATAATATGGTTACACGCTTATCTGATATTTAGACAAACAAGAGGTCTCGGATTCAAATCTCAAAGCAATTTGAAAAGCACAAGCTTGGTCCCACAAAAAGAATCAGACCTACATGTGAGATGACATTTTAAGATATTAAATAATTAAAAGTGTGGATGAAGTTCCTAACAATTTAAACTTTCAAATAAAATGGTTACAAACCTGAGGAGCCCATTTTGGCACTATAAGTCCCCTATTTTGATCCTCGAAAACGCGTTAAACAAACCCCTCAGGAAGCCACTCCTCTGCTCTGAATTCCATGTTTATGTCAAAACCCAAAGGAGGCCTAACAGCCCATATGAAGTTTACTCTACTTGCATTATCCAAGGCTTTTGCCAATTCCAGCATTTGTGATGTTGATATTCTGTTCTGAGAGCCAAAAGAAATGTAAAGTACTGATTCTTCTTCTTTTTCATCAAGAAATTTGATGAACTTCTCTGTTTCTTCCCCTGTTTCATTGCCAACTCTTTGTTTATTACTTACTGGCCAAGGTATTGGTCCTATTGCCCAAGCAGGTATTCCTAATTTTCGACGAAAATATGTTAAACCAAGCTTGTCTATACCTTCAACTGTATTGAAAAGAATCCCATCAGAGTTAATCCAGTTAGGAAGATTTTTCCAGTTGAAATTTGTGTAAGGATCATTAGAATCAGCTTCCAATAGACTTGGATTCAATTGACTAACTTCAAGATTACCACCTTCTTGAAAATCAGGCATAGTAAAAACAAAGTTTTCTGTTTTTTTATGAGGCAAATTTAGCCACATAGAGTAATAACATGCCAAGCCAAAACCACCAGCCCCACTAAAAATGACATGAAAAATTCCAAATTCATGAGCTATATTTGCTGACCATCCAAAAAACATGTCTGATATAACACAAAGTGGCTTTTCAATAAGACTAGATACAAGATTTCTAAATAAAGGTTCAATAAAAGAGGAGATTGTTATAAAATGCAAGGAAAGTTTAAAAGTAAGTGAATCAGTGTTTGGAGGCAGGCCATGTTCTGAACTATTGAATGGAATTTCAAGAAGGGAAATAGATGAATTTTGAGGGAGTGATGATTTGAGTTTCTTGATATTGAGAGGTGTATTCACCAAAATTATTTTGTAACCTTTTATTTCTAATTTAAATGCTAAGGTTAAAAAAGGTATAATGTGGCCTTGTGCCATGAAGGGGAAGAGAAGAATTGTTCCCTTTTTCTTCTCCATATTTTTGGTCCTTTTTTCTATAGAGAGAAAAAATAAAGCCAAGAAAGTTAGACATTTATAGAGGGAAAGAGGAAAGTGTAAAAGCAATTACTTTTTTGTACAATTATTCTTCTATGATAAATAAGAATAGATCTTCTAAGATTGTCATAATAAACAAATTTTGACCAAATATTTTAAAATTTTAATACACCACATATGACAAATAGTATAATGTAAATATTTACTTTTATCATTAAAAGATTTTATTCACTTCAATGGAATATATTACACTATTAGATATGCTTAAAATTACTTTTTATATAATAGATATTGAACGTCCTTCAATTTCCTTATGTATTTTATTTTTTTATATTTTAAATCACGTTAGTAAAAATTTTGACTCCAAATTAATGATGACGAAGTCCAATATTTTGTATTATAAAAAGTAACAGAAATTCTAAGGAGAAACACTACAAAAAGTAATAATATTACTACTAATATTCATATTATAAAAAGAAGAAGCTAAGCAATCGAATTAAAAGTTTTGAAAAAATGTTAAAAGTAATTGTTATCGAGAGGCTTAGAGTCCGTTTGGATTGACTTAAGAAATAGTTTTTAAGTCAAAAATAAAAAGTCAAATTTAAGTCAAAAATAAAAAAGTCAAATTTAAATGATTTTTAAGTCAAAAAATAAAAAGTAGGAGAGACAAACTTTTGGTTTTTGACTTATTTTAAGTTTTTTTTACCTTGTCAAACACTTACTAACTTATTTTAAATTATTTTTGACTTATTTTAAATTATTTTATATTTATCAAACAATTCCAAAAATCAAAAACAGACTTAAAAGTAAGTTTTACTATACTTGTAACTTAAAAGTCAATCCAGAATACTCTCTTTATCACAATTTTATAATCACAACACAGCCTTTAAAAATATTTTTTTTATTCTTCTCTTTTTAATCTTTTGGTTTTTCCACGATTGTCAAGACTCAAGAGAATATTTTAAATATTTTTAATAATTTGAATATTTAAATTTTAAAGACATAAAAATCACTTACATGATGAATCTAGTTACTTTATTTTTTCCTTACAATTAAGTTAATTAGTGGAATTGTAAAGTGCACTAACGTAAGAATACAATATTTCTATGTCTAAAACATGTAAATCATTGATTTTTTCACTAATCTCAAGAGAATTGCAAGAGCTCAATTTGCTATTTAATAAACTCTTATAAAAAGGATAATTAAGATTTAAGCAAAGATGATAACTTTTGGCTGTTGGGGTTATTTTAAGAACATTTCCATGTTTTGTATTATTTTCAAATAATGAACTGAATTCCAAGATACAACAATTTATTATACTATATATATATATTAAGGCAATTGTGGAAATGAGGGCAGGACTTGATTATTATTTTCAGTTTTTTTTTTATTGTTCGAGACTTGGTTCCAATATGATAATTTTCAATTTTTTTATATTTAAAAAAAAATCAAACTATATTTTTTTGTTTGAAACATCTTTAGGGTTGTTCTAAGTATCATGTGAGAAATTCAACACAAACACAATATTGTAGCCGTGTACCTATAATTTTATGAGTTTACATATGCAGAGTAAATATTTTTTTTTTCAGTAGTGTTTATACACTTTTATATATTATGGTATAATATGATATGGATACACCTACATAACTAATGTATCTACTTTGTATAAAAGTATATGAAAATATATCTATCTTAAATAAACATGTATAGTAATGTATAAAAGTGTATTAAGTATGACTAGCTATACTGACGAACTTGATCTTCTGTTTTATTTAGTTTCAATTCTAGTTTAAAATAAATCCAAATTTCCACCAAACGGCGTCATATTTGTAGACAACCTCCTTAGACTATTTTCAACTAGTCTAAACGACACACTTTAGCTTTCTCATAAATATCATATTCGAAATTCAAAACCACCTCTTCAAGGTTACTCAATAATAATGAGTTATCTTCTTAATATGTTTTTCACCACCCAAATCATACAAAATGAGTATTCTAATTATACAAGTTGAACTCCAAACAAAACAAATTAAGTTTGTTAACGTTACCACCAATAAAACTCATAATTTACAAATTCAATTTTGAAGATGTGAATTAAAAGATTTTAACAGTGGAGACAATCTAATTTCTTGCGAAATGGGCTAATGTTGGATAGAGTGATGCAATAACTCTCTAATGAACATAGGGTGTAACAATTTGTCTAAACATTACTCCCTCCATTCCATATTAAGTTAATTTTTGAGTCATTTTCCATTTTTCAAATTAACTTAATTGTTCAATTTTCAAGATTACTTTTAGAGTGTTCTTCCAATTTTACCCTTCATTAGTTAGTATTGGAATTAGTGATTAATTAATATTTAGTTATTTTAATCATAAATTTGACAATAATTAATAAGGGTAAAAATAGAAAACTAGGTTCAATTTATGTCTTAATCTAATTTTCTTAAAGGGTGTGAAACACCTCAAAAATTAACTTAATATGGAATGGAGGGAGTAATTTATTTGAATTAATGATTAGCGGCTATTTATTGATTGAATCTAAATATGCCAAACCTATTTTCAATTTTTCTCTAGTTATTATTTCTTATCCTTGATGGATTATTGTGTTCCCAAATTCCTCTCCAAATATTCTCTCTATAGAAACTTGAAGAAGAAGAAGAAGAAGGATTCACCTAGGGTTTCAATCTAAGGTTCCAATTTCTCTATTGAAGGCTAGCATTTGGAGTTAAGGTATGATAGTTTTCATCCATGGATTCTTTTCATCCATGGAGTTCCTAAATCTCTCATTTCAAATGGTAGAATTCCCCAATTGAGTTAGGGTTTTCATCTATTATCATGGATTCTCTTTATTATTGACTTAAATGAGTTAATTATCATCTTCTATGTAGGAATTGATGAATTCCAATGATTTTATGATGAAGTCCCCTATGAACCCATGTGATTCCTATGTTTTCAAGTTATGAACCGTAAGTTGAGGGATTTTTATTTTCAAGGAAGAGTTTTATGAAATTGAGCATGTATTACTTGTTTTACATGAATTTATGATGAAATCCATATCTAACCCATGTTTTCTAAGAGTTGATTACTGAAATTGGGTTTTGACCTCAAGGAGGTGAATAATGGACTTATGCATTGTTTATGAAATCTATGCAAACGTATTAAGGGTGTTTTGAGAGTAAAGTACCAATGACAGTGATGATGTTGTGTTGTGAAAGGTTTTCTCACATGGAAAGGATTCTTAGGTTGAAAGGCTTCCCACCTAAATGAATCAAAGACTAGGAGCTATCTTAATGAAACTAGCTTGAATTAATCAGTAGGCCAAGGGCTCTCTTTCATGAGTAATTAAGTCTAGTAAGAAATCACTATTCCTTGGGAATTTATGTTTAGCACCGAGTAGATATTTATAGTGAGATGGAAGCTCTCCGGTAGTAGCGGTCGGGTTTCCAAAGTAATCTCATGAGATAGAAGCTCCCCCGTAGTAGAGGCCAGGTTTCTAGTAGCAATCTCCTTATTCCATTACTATGTGCCCACATAGGTTGATTAGCTAGTGGATCCACTTAAGCTAGAAGTTCAAGTTTCTACCTTAGGCAAGTAGAACAACCTCTTTTTGGTGTGGGTAGATATCGGATTCCATGTTATAGCTCACATAGTCTCATGTTGGTTAAGGCTAATTCCCCACAATAAATAATGAACTAAGGTAACTCAAGGAGTATAAAGTATGAGTTCAAAAGATCTTAAAGAAGAAGTTAGTTTGCATTGACTATGATTTTTGACTTATGTTTTATAACTCTTTCATATGATATTTAACTTCGTCAATTGCATGTCATGAAATGAAATATCCCTTTTTAGCATGTTTTAAATTTTTTATGCATGGCCATCATACATGGTACTTTGTTTTGTACTAACACATACTCTTGCCTACATTTTCCCCAAATGTAGGGTCCGACAGACAGATTTCCGAGTCTCTTGGCTAGTTGTTGAGTTCGTGATTTTCCCAAGCTTTGGTGAATCTGCATGCTTCGAGGATGGAGTTATTATTTTAGTTTCTTTCTTGTACTTCTCTTTTGTACATGTTGTATGGTCTAGGCCCAATTTCATTCTATTGTATTAGACGGCTATGTTGAGACAAGAGTTTAGACTTCCGCTTTTCGTTTTATAAAAGATTTTTGACTTGGACTATTGTTTTACTCTTATTATTCTTTTTCTATGTTATGAGAGCTAAGTGGCTTGTATGGAGTCTATCGGGGTTCTATGCGCCATGTTACATCTAGGGGGTACCTCTAGATCATGATAATGCTTCATTGAAGCTCTAAGCATTGAAATTTAGGTATTGACTTTCTATTAAAGAAGAAAATAAAGAAATGTGCAATTATCTATGAAATTTGCTTCACACAGTAAATTTCTATATATAGTGCACGGGAATTTTCATTTCTTTTTATGGTTTTGTGAATTTAATAATTAGTGTTCACATAATGAGTGAACAATGACAAATACACACATTGTGGATTATTTTTCTAATAAAATAAATAGATCAAGTTGTGGGAGAGACAATAATAATAACAAATACGAAAAAAAGGCAGATGGCTGGGTAAGATATTTCTTCTTTATTTTTCCATTTTTTTTATTTTTTTAACCAACGAAGGAGTTT